CATGAAGCTCCTGATGCACAGTTCTTTTGCTGATCTTGCTTCCAGAGTCAATTTAGAACTCTTTATTTAGTGATTCAACAGAGGATAGACACTGTGCGCTTCAGCACTCGGCCCCACTCTGTGAGTTTGGTCTACCGCTTCGTGGCTGAGCTGTTTTTGTTGTTTCACTTCACAATAATAGCACTTACAGTTGACAAGGGCAGATCAAGCTGGACAGAAATTTTATAAACTGACTTGTGGCAGAGGTGGCGTCCTATGACAGAGCCATGTTTAAAGCCACTGAGCTCTTCAGTATGACCCTCAACTGCCATTGTTAGTCTATCGAGACTGCAAGATTGTGCTTAATTTTATACACCTGTCAACAATGGGTGTGGCTGAAACACCTGAACTCAATAATTAGGAGGGGTGTCCCAATATTTTTGTCCATGCAATGTACATTGCTTACAAACTCTCACAGTCCACAGAGTGACCAGCAGGGGGAAGGAGAGCTCTCTGAACTTTAAACTGAAGTGCCCATGCTTCAGAGTGGTTTATCAACAGTACAAAAACACTAAACAAAAACTCGAAATAATCAAGTTATTAAATAAAAAGAACATTAAAAGTAATACAAAAATAAAAGAAAATGTGGCATGAGTGAAAAGTGTTTTCAAGGACCGTCTGAATGCACAGTGTCACCGCCCCTTCTACTCAGGACACTGAACAAACCCTTCGAAATGAAAGTGGAACTCAGCAGTTCCATTTTACGAAGTGCCGCACATAACGCAGTTCAGGAGAGAAACACGGTGAGTGTGTAAATCTGAGCTGTAGTTTGTGAATGATACGAATTTGCAGTAGATAAAGATCAGTTAATTAGGTTTTACTGAAGTCTTAACTGACTGAATCACTTTCCTGACCTGACTAGTTGAATATTTTTTCTGTAGGTGAACAGTCTGATGAGGCAGGACTGAATCTGACACAGTGATTTTGAAGTGAAGTAACTGTGTGTCCTGCTCTGTTTCTCTGTGTGTGTCTGCAGGATTCCAGCTGTAACCTGTAGGAGACATGAGCTCCAAAATGAGTTCCTCTGGAGAAGAACAGCACACAGAGAAACACCAGAGGTGAGAGAATAGTGTGACACTGTGAAGATGTGAGCTGATGAAGTGCTGTCGCTTAAAGGGTCCATATTAGACATTTTACTTATATATACAGACATTAGAGCCGTCACTGACTGTGTGTACATGAAGTGTGACCAGTCGAAGGACAAGCCAGTATAATTTATAGAGGGAGAATATTTTAACAAGCTTAAGTGAAAGTTTAAACACTGTGCATTTCTCAGAATTAAACCTTAATACTAATTCAACTAAATGTGGCACAGCAGTACAGGGCACAGTAAAAAAATGTCTTTGTGGTGTTTGTGAGAAAAGAAACATGAAATAACTAACTTGGTTAGGCAAAAAGAAGAATCGAGAAAAGTTTGTCTTACAACCACAAAACAGTGCACTTCTTTTTTGTCATTAAACATGTGACACAGCATACAGTTAAAAGAACAGCAGCTGGCAAGGCTGATGGGTGAATTATACAATAATTCTTATATTCTTCCCACTGCATTTTACTTCATGTCATTCTTGTTCTTTAATAAAGAATTTATTATGTATTTAATTTTCTCACTGTAGATGATGTTCTATATGTAAAACTTTGGCCAAAATTGTATGTAGACTTAATTAGTGAGTTCAGGTGTTTCTATGGAGTAAGTATGTGCTGAAGGTTTCAAATAAAATAAAATCCACAAGCAAAATGTTACATATCAAAGTCTCCAAAATATGTTGCAAATACAAATGAGTTAAATCAAACTTAATTTTTCAAGCAGAATACTAATTATTTGTATTATATTTTTGCATTGTTTTCATTTGTTTCTATTTGCTGATATATTTTTTGCCTCTGGAATCGCACTTTTCACAGATGGTTGGTCCTCACCTGCACTCTCTATTGGTCAGTTGATTTGAAGTGATAGGTCTTCTGAACTGCCCCCAGCATTTCAGCATTTTGGTGGCATATCTAACTTTATGATCAATGTTTGTCAGGTTCCTTTTAAATTATTAATGCGACACATGTTTAGGTCCATGATCAAATAATATAGCTGTTATTTTAGGCAGTGAAGAACACAAAGTGTGTTGTTGGATGCAAGTGTACCACCTTGCGAGTTTGCAGGTGCTAACTAGCCTAGGAGTGTCCTCTAGGCCTAACTAGGCATAGTGGTAATGAAACTACAAAGTTTAAATATATATCATTAGCAATGTTATTTCCCTCAACCAACATCACTGCGGATTTAACAATTTCCTGACCCAACACACCTGATCAGCTCATGAATAGTTTGATAATCAGTTGATGAGCTGGATAAGGTGTTTTAAGGTAAGGAACAATGGAAACTAGTGAACAAATGGAAGGCAGTGACAGTGCTCTGGAAATTTTCCAGTCTGCTAAGAGGACTGAGTCTGAAGTGTGGTTGTATTTTGGTTTTATAAGGGTGCAGAGGGAAACTTAATTGAAGATGGCCACCCTGTCTGCAGAATATACAGAAAAAATGTTGCTGTAAAAAAGTCCTCTTTGTGACCTCCACCCACTACTTTATAGTGAATGTCTTCTGATGAATCATGCTTCTTTGTTGAAATTTCAGATTTCTTTAGTTATCTTGAGGCTGAGGTCACCCTCCTATTTGTCGACAAGGAAACTGATTTCAGCCTTGTCTTAAAGCTGCAGGTAGAATAGTTTGATAGTGTAAAAGTCCTTATCAGGAAATGTTACCAGCATTAAAAGAACAATTAGGAAATTTTGAGAGCCCAATTCAGCTCATCAGAGAGGAAGTAGTAATATTGCACAGACTCTAGACTGAATTAACATTAAAATCACATTAAAATGTTTAAATGCTCTCATGGTTGAAACCTTTAAACCTCTTATGGCTGTCTGGTGCCACTTTTAATGTTAGTGCACATTTGATATGGTTTTCATATGTTTACATAAGGTATAAGCTATGTCAATATTAGTTTAGTGTTATTATGTTTAGTGGATAGTGTTGCTAATTTTATTTGTGGTTTTCAAAAAAACTTTGTGTATCAGTAGTTTTTGAACATTTTCAGCACATTTTACCAATACTGTAATAATATTGATGACCATGATGATTTTCATCACTATAATCATGATGGTACATTTTCATACTGTTTCATCTCTAGTTGAAAATTTGTCAAGCTATAGGTCTTCAGAAGCAGGCCTAAGAAACACTGACATTTCAAAAAGGAAGCATGATTCATCAGAAGACATTCACTTTTAGTGGACACTGCTAGGCTAATTAGCACTAGTATCTGCAAACCTGAAAGGTACGGCTTCGTTCAGCAGACAAGCTTACCTAGTATGCTTCAATTTCCAAAACAAATATTTTACACAGGTGACACAAGACCCTGAGCATGTGTTTCATTAATAAATATGATAAACATTACTTATAATGTTGGACATGCCAACGCAATCCTCTCTGGCAGTTTCACACTGAGTATGACGCATTCTTCCATGTTTGAGGCAGATTACAGCCGTCAGAGTGGGCATGGTTACGTGTTCAGAAGACCTGTTACTCCAATTCAGCTGACCAATAGAGAGTGCAGGTGAATGTTCTCTTTTTAGACCAGCCCCTGTGAAAATGTGCCAAAAGTCAGAAGCATAAGAAAGATTTCAGAAGCAAAAGATTTCTGCAAACTCAACAAATGAAAGCAAAGAATGGCAAAATACTTGTATCAAAATTAGTAAAATGAGTAGTAATCTTTTTTAGATTAATTTAGATTTTATTATTTTATTTTAAACATTTGGCACAAAATTAACTCCTTATATTTCAACCACATACATTGCTAACAGGCGTATAAACATAGGCAACATAGCCATGCAATCTCCATAAACAAATACTGGAAGGACAATGGCCCTGACATAGGGATGCCACCACTGTCATAGGATGCCGCCTTTGCCACAAGTCAGTTTGTGAAATTTCTGTCCTTTTAGATCTACCCTGATCAATTGTAATTGCAACAACAGCTCAGCCACAAAGCAGTAGACCATGCTAACTCACCAGGTCCCCTGAGTGCAGAAGCACCTAGTGTGTTAAAATTGCCTGTCGCTTACTACAGAGCTCCAAACTGCCTCTGGAAGCAACAGCACAAGAACTGTGTGTCAAGAACTTCATGAAGTGGGTTTCCATGGCTGATCAGCTGCACACAAGCCTAAGATCACTATGCGCAATGCCAAGTGTCGGCTGGAGTGGTGTAAAGCGCCACCACTGGACTCTGGATCAGTGGAAACGTGTTCTCTGGAGTAATGAATCAGCTTCTCTACCTGTCAGTCTGATGATTAATCTACGTTTGGTGGATGCCAGAAGAACACTACTTATCAGCCAACAGTAGAGTTTGGTAGAGGAGGGATGATGGGCTGGGCTGTTTTTCAGGGTTTGGGCCCCTCAGTTCCAGTGAAGGGTGATATTGATGCTGCAGCACAAAGACATTTTACACAACAATATGTTGGCAGCAGTTTGGAGAAGACCCTTTTTCTGTTCCAGTAAGACTGAGCCCCTGTGCACAAAGCGAGCTCCATAAAGACATGGTTTAACCAGTTTAGTGTCAATTTTGAGCCAGGTCCTCGCAACCAACGTCAGTGCCTGATCACACAAATGCTCTTTTGATTGAATGGGCACAAATTCCCACACACAAACTTTTAAATGATCATCAAAATTGTGAAATCTTCCTAGAAGAGTAGATAAGTATCTCCAAAATGGTCAATTTACAGGAAATGTTAAAACATTCTTTACCTTTAATATAAATTAATGTAATAAGATTTCACTCTAACTGACTTTGGAGCATTTTTATTGGTCTTGTAAAGGGCAGCTGTTGTGCTTAAATGATGTAGAAAACAAAACATCTGAAAAAATTGGAGATGTGTTCTTTTTTTTTGGACATTGACAATGTTTAATATTAACAACATCTTTGTCCTAGAATGATGAAATGGAAAAGATCAGACTCACCTAAACCCAGCTGTGAGTCCATGAAGACTGACCAGTCAATGGGCCTTCCATATCACTTCAGAAAGAGAGACAGTTCTACTGCCAGGAGGTAAGGATGATGTAAGAAATGTAACACTGCACAGTAAAAATGTTCTAACTCCAGTCCTGAAGTGCACATTTTTAATAGTCGATTTCAAAGTAAATAAACATTTATGTAACACTGTATGTAATATGTATCATAGGGCACAAAGTCTGAGAGCACTAGTCAAAAGGCTTTTATTTTGCATTCTTCTCTAATTTAGTACAAAGCGTTTTATCACAAATTATGTTATCAGCATACCAATCTGAGTGAAAGTAAAATTTTGTAATTTTAACATGAATTTTAGAATATATTAGTATTTGATGGTGTGTCCTTGTGCTTTAGTGACAACATGCACTCGAGCTGACACAACCCTTATAATTAACCATGACAAAAACCTCTGATCGGCAGATCAGATCCACCTGAGAGTCTGAACACGAGCTGCAAATTAGCTTCCATTTATATATTTTACTACAAATAGTGCAGAATCTTCAAAATTTCATTTAATTTGACATATTTTTACTTTGTTTTCATTTTTTAAATTTCTACACCTTTCTATTGTTTGTAAAAAACATTTAGAATCCACAGTAACTCCATTCTTGATGTGCAGTTTGCTAATAGTTGATTCATAATTAGACCAGCAATAAATTAATGCTATATTACATTTTCAGTAGTGATTTGTATACCTACATATCACTTGATGCTAAAAAATATAATATATTTTTTAGCATCGGTTATATAGTTATATATAAAATGCATATGTGTTTTTCAGCATTTATGGCCATAACAATACATTTTCTTTAACGGTGTGTTTTAGTGTGAGTCGGAGTGAAAGATCAGACTCACCTAAACCCAGCTGTGTTTCCATGAAGAGTGACACGTCAGTGGACCCTCCAATCACCTTCAGAGAGAGAGACAGCCCTTCTGAGAGGTAGCTCGCCCATCCATGTACATGAAATTGGGTTAAAAAAGGGGGATTTTGAATTTAAATCTTAATGAGATAACATTTATTCATAATCTGCTGAATTCAGCTGTTTTGATATTTTATTTGGTGAGTCCAAGTTCAGATCTGTGGACCATCAACATCCTCAACAAGCTGTTACAGACCTGCTGCTCACACCATTCTGTAACTGGAATTTAACTGGATTAGATTTTGTTTAAGACTAAGGTTAGGATTAGGGCCAGAGTGAGGGTTAGGATTAGGTTTTGTGTGGAGATTTATACTTGGAAAGGGGAAAAACGATAATGGTTATGCTTACACTTTTTATTTATATATTTGTATTGTTTTTTCTGTATATTCCTGAATAAGTGTCCAAACGGAGAAATCAAAAAGGTCCAGCACAAATCAACTAGACTCCATTTTCAAGGTGCGTGAGTGTGTGAATACCATACATTCTGATGAAATGTTTTCCACTATCCACTTTTAGGAGGAATTTAGACATGACTTGAGATGTGTGACTCAGTAAAATCAAAAAAGAACACCAATGATTCAGACGTTGACTCGGACCTGAGACCTAAAGAAGAAGAAATGTGGAGAGGCATTTAACTGCAGACAGGATTTCTATACAGTCAGTTACTTGTCATGTGAATAGATTCATTTCCTGCCATAAATTTGACACACAGCAACGTCATCAAATGTCTGTTGTTACTGAGCTTACACTCGGCTTATTTTATTTCGGAAGACAAACTAAGCATTAGAATTCATGTTCACCTCCATAACCTAGAAATAAATGAAACATAAACAGTATCAGTAGCACTCACTCAGCACTTAAGTTTCAGTCTTACTAGATAAACTTACCAGGTGCAATGAAAATTTTCCTTATGGTTGTTAAACAAAAGAAACAGAGCTTTAAACTAGAGGTCAACATGGGACTGTTTTTTTAGTCTTGCTCCCGTGAGATTTCATCCTGGTCCCACAGAAAATCAGAATAATTTTTCCTGCTCCCACCCGCAACCGAAACGATTTGTCCCACTCCAGCCTGTGCAGACCCACGTACATCCAATATCTTACACAGTCTATTCACAAATACGTTATCCTCTGCTGAAATAACATGGCACTCACGGTCATCAGGCTCATTATAATTTTACCAAACGCCATTTATACCCAGTAAACACAAAGCAGGACTGAAGTCTCTGCTGTCTCTGTAACACTTGATTCACACATGCTGCCTTTTCGTGCTATGAGTGATGAGGCAGCACGAATGCACTGGTCTCTCATACATACAGCGTTTGTGCTGCGTAGCAGAGCAGCGAAACAATTATACAGACAGAGGTATAAATGGTCACATCAGTCACTCTGCTCAATAAAAATATAATGTATAAATGTACACAGTATATTTGTTTGTAGGCAAAACTATCAAGCCTGGTAGACCAACCAGGAAATCTGACTGCAGCACAGAATGTTTAACTGATTATGAATTACATAAAAATCACCTTTTTATATTGTCTTCTGTTTAATGTTCATTGATTTTCATAGCGTATTTCAACGTGTTTAGCTGCGTGACGTGCGCAGCATGCAGAAAAAATGTCCATGCCGCTTTGCATGCACAGCCTGTTTGAAAGCGCTGACCACTTAACATGGGTGTCAAAATGAAAAGCAAGACTTTCCGGGTCGCTGTCACCATGCAGACGCAGTATGTGTGAATCAAGCCTATGAGAATTAGTGTGTGTTCACGTGATTGGTTGATCGAAATTGACTTTACTCATTTTAACTCTTTTACTGTTATATTGTTTGGATATATGATTTAGTTCTACTTTATTTAGGCTCTTCATTAATTTGCCGGATTTCTCTACATGCGTGCTTCCGCCCACTCCCATATGAAGGGGTCTGATTTCCGCCCGGGTCCCATGAGCAACATTGAAAATTAGTCCTGTGCCGCAAGATATTGTGGCGGGTCCCGAGGGTCCTGCGGGAATCCGCGGTAATGCAGACCACTACTTTGTGTGACTTTAACAGCTTCCGCAAGACTGAAGTTGACTTCAAAAGTACTATGAAAATTCCTCTCATGTAGTTGCACTACTGTTTGTGTATACCATTATGTTTGTTATGGTTATCCATGTGCCATGGATTTAGTAATTTATTTGGAAGGGTAAAAAATTATAATAATATTCAGCCATACTAACATGCTGCATTAAAAGGCTATATTACTGTTACCATCATTGTTGGCGTTCACTGTTGAAATGGACTTAAAATAGCTGAAGAATGAATGCTGACTTATTTAAGACTGAATTGACTTGGGATTTGAATCGAAACTCAACTGTCTTGACTTGGGACTTGACTCGGGACTTGAGTGTCAAAACTACTTTTTATTTTCAGCTTAGTGACTTGTTCCCACCTCTGATTTTAGTTAATCAGATTGATTTGTAGTTTAACCTGTGGCATTGGACACTCTGAACTGTCCATCATATGACTATAATTATAAAATAATTTTTCTCTGTAAGATAATTGTGTTTTTATAGTTTTCTTTTGACTTTTTTTCTATTCAGGATTTGGAGCTCAAAGTGATCTTTCTGGTGAAGAAAGAGCTGAAGAGGTTCAAGAAGCTGCTGAGTGCAGATTACCCAGCATGCTCTGAAAGAGAGGTGGAGGATGAGGAGGATCACAGCAGTTTTAAAGAGAGGGTGCTGAAGATCACACTGAACCTCCTGAGGAACATGAAGCAGATAGACCTCGCTAACACACTACAGAGCAGTAAGAGCTGTGGGCGTGGCTTTATTACATCACTGTAACTTTAGAGGAAGAACACCGATCCTCACTTATCACACTTCTCAGATTAAGAGAGCTGATCTAGGATCAGTTTTTACCTTTCACATCCTAATGAGTGCAGTTATATGGACAACTGAGGGAATAGTATATCAGTAATTAAGTGCCCATAATGATCATGTTTCTCCAGATTGTCCTGTGTTCTGTTTGGGTCTTCAGGTTTGTTAATGGTTTGTTCATGATTCCGCTGATTGTCTCCAAAAGTCTTGATGTTAATGTTCCCTTTTACCTTTAACTGTTCTAACCATAATTGTATTATCATTATTATCATATCAAATTATTAAACATGTATTTAATTGAAAGTAGTACAAAGATATTCTTGCTTAATAGAGGATTTCAACTGCTTAACAGTTCAGGGTCTCCTTTGTTGTATTTTTCATTTCATAATGCACCAAATGTTTTCAGTGGTGTCAAGTCTGGACGGCAGGGAGGCCAGTTTAGCACCCGGACTCTTTTACTACAGAGCCATGCTGCTGTAATATGTGCAGAATGTTGTTTGGCACTGTCTTAGTAAAATAAGCAAGGCTATCTCCGAAAAAGACGTCGTCTGGATGGCAGCATATGTTGCTCCAAAACCTGTATTTATCATTCAGAATTAATGATGTCTTCACAGATGTGCAAGTCACCAATGCCATGTGCTCTAATGCACCCCTATATCATCACAGATGCTGACTTTCTAAGGCGTGTTCATGAAGAGAAGTAGTCAATGAGCTGCTGAACAGAATTAGTATTTTTCAACAGCTGTAAAATTAACCATGACATTTTGCACGTTTTTTCAGATGATAAACTCTGCCTAGTAGTCATTTGTGCAGACTGCTCCTTTACTTCTTTCTCAACTAATTTGAGAGCTTGGAAATAATTACACACATGTTGGCAGCATTATCAATGTCTTCCATATATACCAGGTCTGCCACTGTATTATTGCAACTAGTCAAATGCTCTCATGAAAAGTCAAAGGATCTTCTTTGAAGGTACAAATGCTTTGAGGCAGTAGGGAGTCTTTATTGTTTAACAAAACATTATGTAGTATTCTGTCATAATACATTACAGTAAACAAAGTCTCTGTAACAGTTGCAGCAAGTGCATCACCACATCTACATCTTCACCATCAGTGGTAAAGTTAGCAGACTTTTCTATTGTTATAATCTTTGTTTTCTTTAACTTTCCTCATAAGGGCCATCTGGTCTTCCTGATTTTCCACTATGAATGTCATGTCATTTGCATATTGAAGGTTATTGCTGTTTCTTCCATCAACCTCTTATTATATGCTCAGTGTAGAGGTGAACAAGTATAGTGATAGTATACAACATTGTCTAAATTCTTTGCCAATGTGGAGTGACTGTCCATTTTTTGTCATGACTGTTTATGTTAATCAGCGTAGAGCAGAATGAAGAGATGCTGCGATGTATCCACTTCCCTGAGAGCATTCCATAATTTTACGTGGTCAGCACAGTTAACGGTTTTCCTGTAGTAGATTAATTAGTTCAGTACTCTCATACATTACATATGCACTCTGTAACTATCATTGACTCATAATGATGTTTACAGACTTTAAGCTTGTCAAATATCAGTTCATATTGCCAAATATAGGAGACTAATTAGGAGTGTACCGAGGTGTCAATGAATAATGAATGTGATATTGTGTTTAACTGTGCTACAATCTAATATATCAAATTCTTTCTGTGCTCATTAGAGCTGTCCCCTGCCTATCTGCAGAAGCTCAAATCAAAACTGATGAAGAAATGTAAAAGAATTAATGAAGGAATCTCACAGCATGGAACCCTTCTGAATGAAATCTACACAGAGCTGTACATCACAGAGGGAGGGAGTGGAGAGGTCAATAATGAACATGAGGTCAGACAGATAGAGACAGCATCCAGGAGACCAGCAACAAAGGAGAAACCCATCAAATGCAATGACCTCTTTAAAGACAAACCCATCAGAACTGGGCTGACTAAAGGAGTTGCTGGAATTGGAAAAACGATCTCTGTGCAAAAGTTCATTTTGGACTGGGCTGAAGGAAAAGCAAATCAGGACATCCACTTTATATTTCCACTTCCTTTTAGGGAGCTGAATTTGATGAAGGAGAAAAAGCTCAGTCTGATGGAGCTTCTTCACCAATTTTTCCCTGAAATAAAAGAATTAAGATCATTAGACTGTGATGCTTACAAAGTCATGTTCATCTTTGATGGTCTGGATGAGTGTCGACTTCCTCTAGATTTCCAGAACAATGAGAGTTTGTGGGATGTAACAGACTCAACCTCTATGGATGTGCTGCTGACAAATCTCATCAAGGGGAATCTACTTCCCTCTGCTCTCCTCTGGATAACCTCTCGACCAGCAGCAGCCAATCAGATCCCTCCTGAGTGTGTTGACCTGGTAACAGAGGTACGAGGGTTCAGTGACCCTCAGAAAGAGGAGTACTTCAGGAAGAGAATCAGTGACCAGAGCCTGACCAATAAAATCATCTCACACATTAAGTCCTCAAGAAGCCTCTACATCATGTGCCACATCCCAGTCTTCTGTTGGATTGCAGCCACTGTTCTAGAGAGAGTGCTGGGTGAGGCAGAGAGTGGAGAGATCCCCAAGACTCTGACTCAAATGTTCACACACTTCCTGATCTTTCAGATCAAACACAAGGACCAAAAGTACCATGGGAAATGTGACACTGATCCTCAGCAGACTAGAAAGATGATTCTAGCACTGGGAAAACTGGCTTTCCAACAGCTGGAAAAAGGAAATCTGATCTTCTATGAGGAAGACCTGAGAGAGTGTGGCATTGATGTCAGAGAAGTGTCAGTGTATTCAGGAGTTTGTACCCAGATCTTCAGAGAGGAGTTTGGGCTGCACCTAGGGAAGGTGTTCAGCTTTGTGCACCTGAGTGTTCAGGAGTTTCTGGCTGCTTTATATGCATTTCTCTCCTTCATCAGTAAAGAAGGAGCAAAACAGCAGACCACTGATCTCTCTGATATTTTCAAAAAATCAACAATGTCAGACTTCCTCAAGTCTGCAGTGGACAAGGCCTTACAGAGTGAAAATGGACACCTGGACCTTTTTCTCCGCTTCCTTCTGGGCCTTTCACTGGAGTCCAATCAGACTCTCTTACGAGGCCTACTGACACAGACAGGAAGCAGCTCTCACAGCACAGAGGAAACAGTCCAGTACATCAAGCAGAAGATCAGGGAGAATCCCTCTCCAGAGAAATCCATCAATCTGTTCCACTGTCTGAATGAACTGAATGATCATTCTTTAGTGCAGGAAGTACAAACATACCTGAGAAGAGGATATACACTTATTGATGGAGTTGGTCATCTCAGTGGAGTGAATCTCTCTCCTGCCCAGTGGTCAGCTCTGGTGTTTGTGTTGCTGAACTCAGAAGAAGAGCTGGGTGAGTTTAACCTGCGTACATATCACCCATCAGAGGATGGACTTCTGAAGCTGCTGCCAGTGATCAAAGCATCCAGAAGAGCTGTGTGAGTATTTCAGTCATTAATGTGTTACTTCACTGTTTCTTAATTTAAAGCTGGAGTAGGTGATTTTTGTAGAAATCTGTTCTATTTAAAATACATTCTTATTGTTAATAGGCATTTGTGACAGGTAGCTTTCCAAGAAATTGCAGGCAAAGGAGCTGTAATTTGTCTTGCTGTGAGGGCATTTTTAGTTTCTTGGAAACGGACATAGGGTTTGAATATCAGCTTGAAGAGAGTAGTTTAAGATTTTGCAAGATGAAATATCATTCTTAAATTACAAAAGATTAGCATCTATAAATATATTAAAAAAATCTTATCTTGACCTTGTAAGATTTTTAATGATAACTGATGATATGGAGTTTCTGTAATGTTTTATCATTTTTTTCAGGTTGTGTTACTGTAATCTCACAGAGAAAGGCTGTGCAGCTCTGGCCTCAGCTCTCAGCTCACATTCCTCAAGTCTGAAAGAACTGGACCTCAGTTACAATAACCTGCAGGATTCAGGAGTGGAGCTGCTCCCTTCTGGACTGAAGAATCCACACTGTAAACTGGAAAAAACTGAGGTAAGATCATCACTTTATCACTGTGTGTGTGTGTGTGTGTGGATTACACACACACACACACACACACACACACACACTTTCCATAGCTTTGCATGGTTTGACAGCAAAAGAGTGACAGAGAGAGAGTTTGTGTTTGTGTGTGTTACATTTCTCTCCTAGGCTTAGTTGGTGTAGTGTCACAGAGAAAAGTTGTGCAGCTCTGTCCTCAGCTCTCAGCTCAAACTCCTCAAGTCTGAGAGAACTGGATCTGAGTTATAATGAACTGCTGGATTCAGGAGTGGAGCTGCTTTCTGCTGGATTGGAGAATCCACACTGTAAACTGAAGATACTGAAGTAAGTTCATCAGTTTATCAGTGTGTGTTAAGATCACACACATGCACCACACACACACACACACACACACACAAATGCACATGGGTGTGCTAGCTACTTCTTTGATAGCCAGTTGATAGCCAGTAGCCAGTATTTTAAACAATAGCATTTAGTTGAAAATTTGCTCATGTTTGCATTCTAATCCTTTGAGGTAATGAAAGCTGTAAAATGGACACTTACTAACATAAAATCTCAAATATGATACCCATGTGTGTATCTTTATTACAAAAAATAAAGAAAACAACATAAGAGTATGTAATACATTTAGTAATGTTCTGAAAATGAATTAATCATTTTTCTTTTTCTCATAATAGTAAAAAAAGAAATTCTAACAGACTCTCTGCAATTATGCCATGCCATGACGTCATTTAGCACAATGCTGCTTTCCCCCTTGTTCAGTTGGGAGTAGGGCTGATTCATTGGTAGGAGTATGGGGAGACAAGGTTAGTTCAGTTGTAAGGATATGAGGATGGGGAGAGAGGGCTGCTGAGCCTGAAGCTGCATCTGTTGGGCCTCAGAAATATACAGTAGCTGATTATCTAATTAAAATCATTTAAAATTAAAGACAATAAACAAAGGCAAACCCTAATAAAATACAGAAAGAGTGACCTTAAACTGGTCATTGAAATAGGGAGACACAGAAAAAGCAAGATGAACAGAGAACAGGATATGCACCCAATGCCTGTCAGGTGAGACAAATATCACTTTTTTCAAAATATAAGACCATCATAGACTCTTTTCTGCCAAGATTTACTAAATCACCATCCTTCCCAAACTGACGGATACTGAAATGATGAAGCTATTACTAGGGCAAGATATTGCATGTCCAATTTCACTTTATGCTTAAATGTGTTATTGTATATGCATTTCAAAATGTATAGGTTTCTTTTAATTATTTGTCCTTATGAACTTCTCTTATTCATTTAATGACAACTCAGTTTAACATGTACTGTACAGCTTTGGTAACATAGGTCTCATGCCCAATAATGCATATTTAATTTGATTTTATTTGATTTGATGTGATAGACAGATAGAGAGACAGAGAGAGAAAGAATACAGAGAGATACTGAGAGAGAGTGAGAGAGAGAGAGAGAGAGAGAGAGAGAGAGAGAACAGACGGGAGGGATAGGGAGAGAGAGAACAGAGAGATACAGAGAGAGAAAGATAGAGAGAATGTGATAAAGATATAGATATAAAGTGAGAGTGATCAGAGAGACAAGCACAGACACAGAGAGAAAACAAAGAGGTAATGTTTAAAAAGGATATATACAGAGGGACACTCAACTCAACTCAAGAAAGAGACCTGAGACTCAAGAAGCCTCAACCAAAATTACTGGCCAGTCTGCTGCTAGATCTCTGAAACACCAGGACTGAATATGAGTGGGTGAGCTTAGTTTAGGAAGTGTAGACACAGGTATCACAACCCTAAATGCCACATGACAGCTCTGGTGGCTGGTCATGTCGCAGGTGGCCCAGACACATACATATAGACAAGATGTGTGATAACAGTGTTTTGATGTTTCATCATTTCTCTTCTAGGTTGTGTTACTGTAATCTCACAGAGAAAAGCTGTGCAGCTCTCTCCTCAGCTCTCAGCTCAAACTCCTCAAGTCTGAGAGAACTGAACCTCAGTTACAACAAACTGCAGGATTCAGGAGTGGAGCTGCTCTCTGCTGGACTGAAGAATCCACACTGTAAACTGGAGAAACTGGTGTAAGATCATTACTTTATCACTGTGTGATTATAGATCAGGTGGGAGAAAGAGACAAAAGACAGAGAGAGACAGATATGAAGGGAGAGAGAGAGGAAAAAAGACAGAGAAGATGGAAGAAGAGAGAAGATAGAAAAAAGAGACAATGAAAGAGATACAGAGAGAGAAAGAGAGATGAAGTGCAAGAGAAAAGAAACAGCAATAGGGAGAAAAAGAAGAGACAGACAGAAATTCACATAGTGATACAAATAAACATGATGGATAAGAAAAATAAAGACAGAGAGATAATAGAGAGATGGAGGAAGAGAAAGCGTTACGAAGAGGTATGTGTGATTGTGTATATGGTTCTCTGAGTATGTTTGTGTCTGTGTATATTGTGGTGTCAGCAGAAGAATAAACACAGGGGAGGCAATGACTCTGCTGCGATATGTGCTCTTTTATTGACACACCAGCACAAAGGCACACAGAGCACTGAGACTTCTTTAATAGGCTAAACAACAGTGTGTTTAACAGTGTATGTGTGTGTGTGTGTGTGTTTGTGGTATCAGTGTACTGATGTATTATCATTTCTCCCCCAGGCTGTGTAACTGTAATCTCATAGAGAAAAGCTGTGCAACTCTCTCCTCAGCTCTCACCTCAGACTCCTCAAGTCTGAGAGAACTGAATCTGAGTGTCAATGAACTACAGGATTCAGGAGTGGAGCTGCTCTCTGCTGGACTGAAGAATCCACATTGTCAGTTGCAGATACTGGTGTAAGATCATTATTTTATCACTGTGGGTGTACAGTACACACACACTTTCATAGCTCTGCATGGTTTTTTATCTCAGTAGCAGCTTTACACAGACAAGACACACTGTGACAATCCACACAAAACTCACTCTTTGTACTAAAACTCACTCTTTGTACTATATTGCAATTTTTTCTCGATTAATAAAACATTTTTAACAAATCTAAAAAAAAACTATGAGTAAACTTTTAAAATTCAGCCAGAGTAATTAATCATGTACTTTAAGGCATGCCATTCTACCCAGAAATAGAAAAATCACTTGAGAAATATTTGTTTCTATGTTTTGCTTTTTCTGCACTTAGGAAAAAGTGTGAGAATAGCGAAAAGCAACATTGCCTTGAATTGGTTAAAAATTGGTTCAAACTGAAATCAGTTTTCTGTGTTCTGTTGTTTAGTGAGTGAAAAAAGGAATTTGCTCACCTGATTGTGAGTTGTGGTGTCTGCTATAAATGTTTCATTTGTGGTGTGCGTTCTGTGGGGGATAGGCAAAAAAGTATGCCATTTTGGATAGCAAGTTACTTCTGAATGAATGAATGTTTTCAAGCATCAAGAAAAACTGGAACTCGGTTCTCAGAGACAAAGAAAGTGTTGTGTGTGTGTGTGTATTTGATGTCAGTGCTCTGATGTATTATCATTTCTCCCCCAGCATGTGCAACTGTAATTTCACAGAGGAAAGCTGTGCAGTTCTTTCCTCAGCTCTCAGCTCCGACTCCTCAAGTCTGAGAGAACTGAACCTGAGCAACAATAAACTACAGGATTCAGGAGTGGAGCTGCTCTCTGTTGGACTAAAAAATACAGACTGTAACCTGGAGAAACTGGAGTAGGTTCATCACTTTTACACTGTGTGTGTACATATACATGCACATACTAACACACGCACTTTCATTGATCAGCATGTTTTAATTCAGCCATAAGAAAGAGAGGGAGAGAGAGAAAGGAGAGAGATTTAGAGAAAGAGAAAAAGAAAGGGAGATAGAGACAGATACTGAGACAGCAAGACAGAAAAAAGACAGAGAGACGCTCAGGAAAAAAGTGCAGAGATTAGAGATGGGGACTCTGGATGTGTGTGTGTGTGTATATATGTGTATGTAAGTGTGTGTATATATATTTGTGAATGTGTGAGTGGGTGTGTGTGATGAGTGTTTTGAGGCATCATTATTTTTCTCCCAGGCTGTGTAACTGTGATCTCACAGAGAAAAGCTGTGCAGCTCTGTCCTCGGCTCTCAGCTCAAACTCCACCAGTCTGAGAAAACTGAACCTCAGCAACAATAATGTGCAGGATTCAGGAGTTGAGCTGCTGTCTTCTGGACTGAAGAATCCACTCTGTAAACTGGGGATATTGAGGTAAGATCATCACTATCACTGTGGGTGTACATTACACATACACACACATTTTCATACGTGTGCAAGGTTTATAAGTCAGCAACACTTTTAAATAGAGAAAGAAGAGTGAAAAACAGAGAGATGGAGGAAACAGAAATTGGAGACGAGTTTTGATCATATGAGATAGGTAGTTGGTAAGACTGTCATGGCAGTATACAGCAAATTGTACTGAATGTATTTCTGGTAAACCCACCTAGAAGATAAGAATAGATTTCACTCCGTAATATTCTTACATTTTGGTAAATTCTAAATCTGTTTTTCACAGTAAAGTATTATCAGCAAACACATAGAGGTCTAATGAAGGAGTTTCAAACTGAAACCAGTATTTTATGACTTTTTTATTTAGGGAAGAGAGAATCAGTATGTGTGTTTCTTTGTATGTGTGTGAGTGTGTATGTGTGTTGATCTGTGTTTTTCTTCTCTTTGCAGGCTGTGTAAATGCAGTATTACAGATGAAGGCTGTGCTGCTCTGGCTTCAGCTCTAAAATCAAACCCATCCACTCACCTAAGAGAGCTGGACTTGAAGTACAATAAACCAGGAGTGTCAGGAGTGAAGCTGCTCTCTGATCTACTGGAGAATCCACACTGTAAACTGAAGACACTACAGTGAGTTAATGTTTTATTACACACAGAAGCAGTATGTTGAATGCAAAGAATCTAGGGTGGTATATGAGTGAATAATTACATTTAGAACATGTTTTTGGGGTGTTCGATTAACAAAAAAAATGAATAAAAAAAAACAATCTGACATGAAAATGAACATATTCCAAAAAATTTAACTGTTCTATAAATGTATTTAAAAAATTGTTGAGTAACAAAACCTCTTAAGGGCTTTGTCAAAACTTGTAGTCAATGAACAAGTGATGGTCAAAACCAGAGAGGTCAACATACAAAGAAAGACAAACATAACAAAACCAGGCAACCAGATCCAAAGGGCAAAGACAAAAAGACAAACTCAAAGAATCCAAGCCAGGTCGAAAAATACAAAAGAGCAATCAAGAAAAAATGCTCAGTAGTTCTCTCAAAGCCTGGGCTTTATACTAATTCTAACTAATCACATGACCAGAAGAACAGGTGAACCAGAGTAATATTTAGGTGTGAATGATGATTGGAGCACTGTGGAGGGTCAGCAGGCAAGTGATCTCCCAGAGGATTCTGGGAAATGGAGTTAATGGACGCTTCAGAGCTGGAGGGATGCGTAACAAGTTGATTTAAAGTAAAATACTATGATTAACTGTGTATTTATATGCAATTAATATTTAAGCTCATTTCAGTCAAGATAAACTAAACATTGGATTTAATATCTAATGGGTCAAACCTTACAAATTCATTAGGAAAAAGCACTTGATTTGAAATTTTGCATGCTTTGATGAGTTAATTTGTAGTTATTTTTTCATGGAAGTTCATGAATTGGTTGGACAGGTCATAGGTGGGTTGGTATTGAATGAGCCATCGTGTCTGATGATTCTCTGCTATTCTGTGTTTTACAGCATCTAAACACCATCCAGCAAGTCTTAGTACAAACACACACACTCAGTATACAGTTGTACCATGGTATCGTGTATGTTAGGACTCTTATTGGTCAAATCAGTGAACACGGCTGCAACTCAAGACTGTGTGATCTCCCCATGACATCACTACCTGGACCTCCAGTGACCCGTTTGTGTCATTCCTCACACTAGTGATGAGTGTGCAAAGGAGGAAAGAGCACCAGGTGTCATGGCAACAACATGAGCTCAACATTCTAAACCAGTGGAAATGCTCATAGAGTTTCATAACCATTAACAACATGAGCTCAATGTACACTCCTTTATCAGCAGAGAGGGACTCTTGAACAGCTGAATGATCTGGAACTCTACTTCCTTTCTGTTCTCTTTTACTCATCAGTATAATGTTTTCTGGGGTTTTGAACTTACTTTCATAATGTTTCATTCTAGTTAAACAGGAACAAACACAAATTGATAGGGCTTTCTTCAGCAGTCCATACTGTGACAGTATATAAACATGAAAACACCAGCTGAGCTCATTAATGTAAACCTACAGGTGAATTTAAGTATCACTATTCTGTAAAAACTAAACTAAACAACAGCCATATTTCATATTAGAGCTGCAGCTATTGATAATTTTAGCAATCAAGTATTCTATCGAACAGGCAGAACAGGTTTATTCTACCAAACAGTTTTCTTAAAATGTACAATTAATTGGTTTCCTTTCTAAAAAATTAACAATTTTTATGGTTATAATTGCATATCTTAATATAAAACTAAATAAATTTAGTGTACTCAAGTGCAATATCATATTCTGGGTTTTAAAGAAAACATTTTCTGAAATGCAAAAACAAACAACTGAATAAAAAAATAATAAAATACATTGTAAATTACTTTTAAAAGGGTATACATAGAACCTAAAACTAAGGCATAAATTAAAATTATAATAGGTCAAAATAAGTCAAGCTTACAGTTAAAAAACTTTGAGGCTTTGAGGTTTTAACGAAAAGTAGATAATCTAGACTTATAGTAAAAAAAAACAGGCTAAGATAAAAAACAAAAATGAGCAATCAAAAACCAGTAGGGACATCCAGAGAGTGGTCAAGGTACAAGCCAAGTGAAAACAAACAGTGATCACAAACTAACAAACAAAGCAAAAGGGGGGAGGTGGCATCTCATCCTGTCGAAGCCTCTTCTATTGGACCTGGAGCCACAGATCTAAGAAGGGACACATGGACAGAATGTGAGACACAATGATGAGGAGGCAATTCAAGCTAGTAAGTAGCATCATTGATGTACTTGAGAGTGAACTTTCTACATCCCTCCCCAAACCAGAAGTCCCTGATCAACAACCACACCCAGTCTCCAGACTGGTAGAAGGGCATATCCCCCAGACAGTGATCAGCCTGCTCCTTATTTTGCTGCAGCACAGTTTCAATGCATTGGTGTGTGTCCTCCCAGACCTCCTGGCAGTCCAGTGGCAGAACTGATCAACTAATTTTGTGCTATTTCTGCCCAAATGAGAAATCAAGACCAATCTGAAGAATAGAGTCTCAGAAATTTCCCAAGTTCTTGATTCGCTCTTTCACACTGGCCATTAGATAGTGGGTGATATCCTGATATGATACTGAGTGTTACCCCTATATGTTTAAAAAGGCAGACCAAACACATGAGGTAAACTGAGCTCCCTTATCAGAAAAAGTACCCAGCTGGCATTTCAGTGTTTATTCACAGTTGAATCAACATTGTGAATCAAGGTTGAATCACCGTCGGTTTTTGTTTCAGTTTTGAAAAGTGAATCAACATTGATATCAGGTCATTGTTTCAGCATCTTACCTTTCAACATTGAATCCCCCAGGTAACAAAAATCAGTTGGGCAGCAACTAGGCCAAATACTGCATGCCGAGCTTGAACCTCATCGACCGAGACTTCGGTTTGAATCTAGGCCCCCATTCTGGTCTAAATGCTTGGCTCAAATCCAGGTATGCCATGATATTAACACTCCCCTGCCCCGCTAGCAAAACATACTCACTTAATTCACTTCTGTGTACTTTCTGTCTAAGTCTATTCATTAAGTACATATACCTCAATTAAAAGCATAGTATTTATTCAGATGTAGCTTAAAATTCACTTTTATTCAGAAATAGCATAAATTCTGAATTCACACAACCATAAAAAGGAAACCAATTGACCTAATCCCCAATGAATACAATACAGCATAGGTGAACACAGCTGAACACTCAATAGTCTGCCACAGTTTTAATGTGCATCATCATGTATTAAGCCAGTGTGTATTGTATTATGCCTTGTAAAGTCAAATTCTTGTTTCCTCCTGTTTTCACCTGTATGCATGCATGAATTTCAATGACACTAGAAATCATTTAGAAACAATTGCTTTAATTGTCTTACATAAATATACAATACTTGCCTACAACACAGACATAATGGAATAGTTAGTACATAGGTAAATAATCGGTTACAATATGCCAATAAACAGGTGTTAAAGAAAAACACAGGTTACACTTAGATGTGCAGTACATTGTTTAAATACTCCAGCAGCACTGCTGTGTCTGATCCACTTGCGCCAGCGTAACACACACTAGCACACCACCACCACGTCAGTGTTACTGCAGTGCTGAGAATGATCCACCACCCAAATAGTACCTGCTCTGTGGGGGTCCTGATTATTTATGAATTGAGTAAAGGGGTAAACAAACTATGCAGAGAAAAAGATGTACTACAATCTCTAATACACTGTCTGCAGTCACCTCGTTCCAATGATGAGCAAATTCTAGATGGAGGGCAGGAAGTGAAAAGCAGTAAACATGTTGGAGACAAGCCCATACTGTGCTAGTTTAGACAATATTACAAGAGAAAAATAAAAACAGAAAATTACAACATATGTTGGGTGTGATCCTTATGTTTTAAGGAGGAGCATTTTTTCAACTGAATTGAAAGACTTCCCTGTTATTGAGGCAGCAGGTAAGCAACTTATATGTTCACCTGTCTTTTGTGTAACTGTTAACTCGGATTTAAGTGTAAGTGGTGTTGCTTGTGTCTTTTAAATCTATCACCTGTGCACACCCTCAGATGAACTGTGCAAAGTATATTTTTGCTGGTGTTATTGGTCACTGTGCTTTGTTATATGTATTCATTTTTTGCCCACTTTTTGCAACTATTTAATTATGCAGAATTTTTTAAAAATTGGTAGAGTTCCCCTATATGTTTTAACTAAATCAAGCATTACTCGACGTCTCTCCCTCTAAAGATTTGCTACCTTGTATTTACTAATTTTCCATTTAATCAGGTCCACTTATATAGGAGCAGTTTGCAGATCTACAATTACAGACTGTAGTCCATCTGTTTCTCTGCATACTTTGTTAGCCCCCTTTTACCCTGTTCTTCAGTGGTCAGGACCCCCATGAACCCTCATAGAGCAGGTACTATTTGGATGTTGGATCATTCTCAGCACTGCAGTAACACTGATGTGGTGGTGGTGTGTTAGTGTGTGTTGCGCTGGTCTGAGTGGATCAGACACAGCAGTGCTGCTGGAGTTTTTAAACACCTCAGTGTCACTGCTGGACTGAGAATAATCCACCAACCAAAAATATCCAGCCAACAGCGTACTGTGAGCAGTGTCCTGTGGGCAGCGTCCTGTGACCATTGATGAAGGACTAAAGGATGACCAACACAAAATGTACAGCAGCAGATGAGCTATCATCTCTGACTTTACATTTGCAAGGGCAGAAAGTAACCAAGCTATAGCTCAGTTTAGTTAGGATAACTAACAAAGGAGAATTCCAGAAACTTCCAGAAACAGCTCTAAAGCAGCGCAGGCACACTCGGGCCACTCAAGCCGCCTTATTACTATTGTTGTTGCTGTTGTTTGCTGTTTTTAAACATATAAATTTAGATTTTTGAAGTGGTCTTATAATGAAAATATTAAAAAATGCAAATAAAATAATAATAATAATTATAACGATTGTATTTATGAAGCATAATGTTTGACATGTTAATTTAAAGTTAAAATTTCAATGTTGATTTATTAGTATTTTGTCAACCTTTTCACAATCATTTAACATTAAAAGTTGTTTCAACATTTTTTTCAGCTTTTTTGTTGAAA